GAAAGGCAGTTAAGGGGGGGGGGGGAGAGATATGATCACCATATATAAATACATAAATGGTCCATATTACTTAGTAAACTTGATGCACTTTAAGGTTATTACAGATGACATGGGGAGCACCGTTGGCGTCTGGAGGCACCCCTTGCCTCTGGAGGGAAAAAAGAGGTTTAGCCTCCTCATACTGAAAGGCGTCTTTACAGTATGAGCTGTCATGTATGTGGAATAGACTTCCACAGGAATTAGTTCTAGCCAACTCTATAGATTGTTTCAAAACAAGGTTAGACGTGATTCTAAATGCACAGAAAATAACTGGCTCTTAAAGTGACATTAAACCCTCAGATTTTTTAACATAAACCAATACTGTAATGTGTGCCTTACTGTAATCCATGGTAGTTTCTCTTCTCTTTGCTGCTCTTCCTTTTAAATCTTCATGTCTTCTCATGCTTGAGGAGAACTTCCCTTTGCAGCTGAGTGCCTCTTCCTGTAGTGCTGGCTCAGGTTGTGAACCTACACACAGACACCATGTATCCATTCCTGAGACAAGGCAGTCTGCTGCAAAACAGAAGTTCTGCAGAGCATGAGAACAGATACAGATTTGAAAGGAAGAGCAGCAAAGAGAAGGGAAACTACCATGGATTACAGTAAGGCGCACATTACAGTATTGTTTTATGTTAAAAAATCTGAGGGTTTAATGTCACTTTAATATGAGTGATAACGCCAGAGATCATTGATCTAGGACAGGGGCAGCAAAACTTCGGCCCTCCCTTCGACAAATCCCATCATGCATCTAGCTCTGGCAGCTATGCCTGTGTATGTTAGCCTTGCAATGCCTACTGTGATTTGTAGTTTCACCGCAGCTGGAGGTCCGGGGTATGCCTTCCCCTGATCTAGGGAGTATTCAATTGCTTTAAGGAATCGGAGTGGAATTTATTCACTGTTGTAGCAATTTGGACCTCCATAAGGGTTTTTTTTTTGCCTTCCTTGTGTTTATTTCGGATGTTTTAGTTAAAGTCGATGGACATGTGTCTTTTTCCATTCTAACTATGTAAACTATGTATTTCAGGTGTCTGCACTGACTACCAATGCATCTTGGCTACAGTTGGATAACTGCGACGAGCACACCCCTCCATCTTCACGCACCCTACTCCTTGTTGGATACAGTATATTGATGCCCCTGGGAGTTATCTTGAACGGGGTGTCCCTCTTTGTGTTTCTCCGTTGGCTACGGCCTCTCACAGTAGTCGGAACCTTCCTGTGTAACCTGGCACTCAGCGACCTCCTCTTCTCCCTCTCGCTGCCGCTGAGGATATATTTCTATGCAAACAACAACTGGCCCTTCGGTTCCTTCCTCTGTCGCCTCTCTGGATCCATCTTCCATATCAACATGTATGGCAGCTGCCTCTTCCTCTTTTGTATTAACGTGGACCGCTACCTGGCCATCGTGCACCCTCTGCGGTTCCGCCACCTGCGCAGGCCCAAGGTGGCTCGCCTGACTTGTCTATGTGTCTGGCTGATGATCATCAGCGGTTCGGTGCCAGCTGCCCTTGTACATGACTCGAAAGATTGCTGGAACGGACATGAAACTATTCACCGCTGTTTTGAGGGTTTGAGTAGTTGGGACAGGTTCTTGCTTCCACTGCTGTTGGTGGCGGAGGTGATTGGTTTTCTGTTGCCCCTTACCGCCGTGGTGTACGGTTCCAGCCACGTGTTCTTTGAGCTGTGCCGGGCAGCAGAAGGAGGCGCAAAGCGACATCGCAAAACCATCCGATTGCTCATCCTCAACCTTAGTATCTTCCTGTTTTGTTTTGTCCCATACAACTCCACTCTGGTTGGGTATGGCCTTCTCCGGTCCGGACTTGTACCTGACCCGTGGGACTCAAGATCTACGTTAAAGAGAATTATCTCAATCACCGTCCTACTGGCCAGCACCAACTGTGCCCTTGACCCGTTGGTTTATTACTTTAGCACTGAGGGCTTCCAAAAGACAATAAGTCAAATTGTGCGCACAAGTAAATCCTCCAAGGGGAAGAAGAAGCCCATCAGGATTATAGACGGCATTGTGGCTTCTAACCAGACTACAAACGTGAAAAGCTTCGGAGTTACTACTGAATCCTGCAAAGACTTTGAGAATACTGAAAAGAAACTGTGTCCGGCTACGTTAGGTGTGACCAATGGCAATGAGAGGAAGAGAATGATTGAGGAATCTGAGATTTAAGTCAGTATTGAATAGGCAATGGAGATACTTGAAGTAGAGGGAAAAGTATGAACAAAAGGGCAGCAGCTGGACTTCTGGGATTTTGAAAGGATGTATACTCTTAAAGAATACCCAAAGCCAAGTTTTGGATAGGGTGGGGGAACGATGAAAAGTTGTGGACTGGGTCCCATTGGGAGGATTTCCCTCACTTCCTGTCCAGTAGAAGCAACAGGAAGAGAGAGGAAACCTCTCATCCATCCCAAATGGAACCCTTGCCCTCTATTCCTGTTCTAGTGTGAATGCAGAATTTTTATATCCCCTCACTTTCAGTCCTGGTGACAGTGGTTCCCAGGACCAATAGACATGGCGAATCTCCCTAATAGGGACACAGACAGAAATAAAAACTTGACAGAGCTGTTAATCCTTCACCACTCTATCCAGAAAAAGAAAGATTTTTGCTTTAGATGCACGTCAACCTTACAACACAAAGGTCTCTTTTATCCAATATCAGGTATCTCTAGCCAAAACCTACTTGTAGATTTGACTAGGGTATGGGGATGGTTTAAAGCTGAACTCCAACCTTTCCTGGAACAGGAAGTGAGGGCAAATCTCTACAATGTTGGCAAAGACTGCAATAATCCAAAACCTTCTCTACTCTGTTGAAAACTAATGCACAAAAAATTTGGGGGTAAAGTTGAGCTTTAAAAGACAATCTTTAGCCTTACCTTGAGTCTTGCAAGGTTGTACCGGCTCCTCTCCTGGACTGAAATTGCTTACTCTGATTTCAATGCACACTGGGAGCTGGGTTCTGTGATGTTTGCAGAATCTTGCTGGTTCCTCCTAGCAGCCATGATCAGCTTGTGCTGCATAGAGATGCACAAAAGACTCAGAGATGAAATCAATACGTCTAAAATAGGATATGAAATGAAAACAGGTTTAATAATAAGCATATTCACTGGGGAAGGGGGACCGGGAAGGCAACATATAAACAGAATAAATGTCAAACTTTTAAACTCCTTTCATGTTTTTTTTTTGTAGGATTTCCAGGAGAAACAACAGGAAGTGAGAGGAAATCCCCTCTTAGACAGCTGTCACAGGTGTACCCATTAAAGGATTTTCCCCTCCCTTCCTGTTTTGGCGACAACTGGAAAATGTTAGATTTCCCATCACCTTCTGCCCCGGGTTAGAATGGTCACAGAACAAATAGGCTGATCAGTAATATGTGAAGAAAATCACCAGCACTCCTGAGTTCCAAGGACCTTCGTTATTAGGATCCCATCAGGTCTCACAATGGCATAGCAACATTTAGGAACGTGCAAAGGCTCATTCTTCAGGCAAACAAAGTGACATCCCTTGGATCCTTCCCGGTTAGGAGTGTGATAGTTTATGGACTCAGAACAAACAGGCTGACACAGACAACACACCTCCCAGCTTTCTAAAATTTGGAAGACGGACACTTTTTTTTTTTTTAGCACAAAGTATGTAGGCGAAGGGCGCGCCCCTGACACCCACCCATAACCCACGAATAATTAACCCCTTCATGACTGAGGCCCTTTTTTTCATTTTTTGCACCCATGTTATATTCCACATTTTAGGCCTGAAAATGACGTAAAACCCCCCAACATTATATATTTTCTGAATGCCAAGACCCTATAGAATAAAATGGTGGTAGTTGAAAATGTTTATGTTGCGCAATATTAGCGCAACTCCTTATTAAACCCCAAAATTTAGTGACAAATTTAATTAAATGCCCCAAAACACAACAAATTACCCATTTTTTTAATGAAATATAAAAGATGAGGTTACAACGAGTAAAACGATACCCAACATGCCCAGTTTACAGATTGCGTGCGACCGTGAAACGGCGAAAAACTGCAGTACCCCAAAAAGTCAATAAAAGACGCTTTAAAAGCCCCCACAGGTCATGAATTTAGAGATACCCCAAAATACTGGCCCTAGAATTATTGCTCTCACTCCGACGTGCGCGGTCGATACCCAACATGTGTAGCGCGTTCGTCGGTTTCATGCGTAGGCGCACCCGACGCGTGTTTACGTGGCGACGCGGGGGCGAGGGGGCAGATCGCACTTCAATAGCTTAGACCTGGGCTGCAGGAGGCCAGAACTGACAGCCCAGGGACCGGAAGTGATGCAATCTGCATCGCTCCCGGTCCCATAGAACGGGGAGGGGATCGATGAACGGAAGTTCGTCGACCTCCTCCCCAGCTCCCCGCGGACACAAAGATCGCCGGTCCCGGGCCCGTAGGAGGGGCAACGGAGCCCGGGAAGCACGGCGGGGGGGGCCGGCGGGGGGGGCGGCCCCCTCCTCGGGACGCAGAAGCGATCTGGCGACAGGTAAGTCGCCAGGATCGCTTCTGTTGTAAAGCCGACAGTCGGCTCTACAAGTTTAAACAGAGTCCCGGCGGCAAAAGTCGCCGGGAGTCTGTTTAAACAGCCCCGATGCTGGCGAC